TGAAGTGGATTTAACTTAAAGATCTAAGTCAAAGGATCAAAATTGTTGGCACCGCGAAAGATGGGTCTTGTCACAAGGAGTATACCACACAAACGGATGTAAAAAAAAAAAAAGCTCAAGAACTGTCCATTGAAAGTTATAGCTAAGATAAATGTTTTTCAAAAGTGTGCTGAAACTCAAGGTCAAAAGGGCAAAGGTGTTGGTACCCAAGGCAAGTTCCAAAAATAGACATTTGAAAATTGAAACCCCTTGCAATAATTGGTACGGACAAGATCAAAGTTTGGTAAACTTTTACCAAAATAGGTATAACTGTAAGGTCAAGGTTAGGATATTAAATATGTTGGTACTAAAAAAAATCTTGTTCCCAGGAATACAACTGTGGAGTATGAAAGCCAGAGCTTAAACATGTCTACTCTGAATTTTCTGGATTATAGCTTTAATATTTTTCATTAATATACATGTACAACAAAATTGGTACCTTTTTTAAGTATTAAGGAAACAGTTCAAAATTGTTTACATGGACGTGTCAATCAAACGCGTCTAGAAATTCAAAGGTCAATAACTTCGATTCTAGAAAAATTAAGATTTTTATTATATTTTCGTTTTAAATTCTACAGCAATATATAAGTTATGAAATTGTACAGAAAATTTGAGAAAACTATTAACATCAATCTGTGTCTAAGCACCTTTCAACCACAATTCACTTCAGGGCCCAGCTAAGAAGATGGTTCTAAAGAACCACGTGATATTTATCAGGTATTTGAAAGAAAAACGTAAATGAAAATGTAAATGAATGAAAAAAGTAATTCACTATCACACCAAACTGACATTGATTTCTGTCCATAATCCGTTCCTCAAACTTAATCGAGTATAATGTTTTTGTAAGAATCGCGACACCATAGATGCTGGTAATGTAAGGTCTGATGCCTTTCTTGTATAAAGGATACTTTATAATGCATAATGCATAATTTTTAGGAAAAATCTTATATTCTAAAAAAGCGCAAGATTAATAAAATTGGTTTTTTTAGCATTAACTAACAAAATGTAGAAAATAAAAATAACAAAAAAGCCCAAGTCTAGACTCCCCAAAGCTTGATATTTTCAATCAATAGAATTACATGAATTAACTATTAGAGAATATATCAATGGAAGTATGTATATTAATTCATTGATATATAAAAACCACAGGCCTTTGGATCGCTTAAAAAAATTACACCACCATTTTTTTTTCTAAGCGATCTAAAGGCCTGTACATATTGCTAAAAATTATGGCAAAGAGACCATTATAAATATAAAATCAAAGTAAATTCATTTTAATCTCGTTAATATCATTTAATACAATTATTGTTTATTTTTATTATTCACAAAAAACTACATGTGTATGTTTTTATATTTTTTTTTCAGCACAGAACTTACAAATTCAGATCCAACCGTCAACTGTAATATTAGGACAAAATGATCTTGTTGTAACCTGTTCCACCACCAACCCAACACAAATTGATACGGTGTATGCTATACAGATACACAAAAACTATACTGGCTTTATGCGGGATGTTGTGACTCTTCGTTCAAGTAGCGGTCAAGATTTTATAACATGGGATGACACAGCTTTACAAAACAGAGGAGCAGCAGTGGAAGGCACTGTAAGCTCACCTGCCACAGCTAATCTAAAGTTAACAATTCCTAGAGACAGGGTGCTATGTCAACAAGATATCACTGGATACACGTGTACGATGAGTGTATTCACGACGGGGCTAGTTACTCAAGAAACAAATCAGGTGTATGTTACCTATAGAGGTATGTAGTACACATTCCAAAATCCAGCATTGTATTTGAATTGTTTATTAAGGTCTTCCGTCTTCAGCGGAAGACCTTATTGTTTTTCTTAGGTTTTTTTCCACTATTTAAGGTCTTCCGTCTTCAGCGGAAGACCTTCTTGTTATTCTTAGGTTTCTTTTTCACTTTTATTAAGGTCTTCCGTTTCAACGGAAGACCTTCTTATTATTCTGTTGTTTCTTTTCAACTTTTCTTATTATTATTCTTACCGATTTTGTGCAGGCGATTTCTCGTAAATGCGCTGATGGATTTTCATGAAACTTTCAGCATTGATGACAAGTTATATGAACTTAAGGCGTTTTTTTTAATTTGATGACGTCACCTCCGGTTCGGATTTTTCTGCGATTTAGTGAGTTTTAGATGGTCATTTTGTCCGGCAGTTTTCTCAATAACGGCTCAAGATAGAAACATGAAACTTTCAGGTATGATAGACCAAAGTCTATAGATATGTATAAGGTATTTCATTTTATCGGAAGTGCCGCACGTCGGCGCTTGCTTTGACCCGAAAATAGGCCTATCGCGAATTTCAAAAATTTTTAACAACTTTTCTACATTATCTTTTTACCTGGAAATATTTTGTAAAAACATGTAGAACAAAAGAAGTGTAGAATTTCAAGACCTTTCAAATGATATGTCGAAAAAAGGACTGGCCCCTCAAATAAAGGACCTAGAGGGACCGAAATTGTTTTCTTTATATCTCAAAAAGTATTGAGAATTTGTGATAGGTTAAAGAAGCAAAGTTGTTCAAAATGTCAAGCTTAATCTATTGGAGTCGTCAAAATACGTCGGACGTCGTCACTTCCGGCCAAACCGGAAATAGTCGGAAAACGCGTATTTTTGCCGTTCTTGACAAGATTTTGAATAACATATGTCTCTGGGAGCATAAATATTAATTTTCCGTCCGTCGTCGTCACTTCCGGTAAAACCGGAAGTAGCAAAAATGGCTTAGTTTTGCATTAATTAACATAGTTTTAGAGAATTCAAAGCATTTTTGGGCGTTATTTCTCATTTTTGTTAAAAATGAAAGCTACTTCCGGTCAAACAAGACGGAAGACCTACTCGTTGCTTTGCAACGAGCTTTGCTCTAGTTATTATTATTATTCTTTTTTTTCTTACCGATTTTGTGCACGCGATTTCTCAAAAACGGCTCGATGGATTTCCATGAAACTTTCAGAACTTATGTAACATTACTTGAACCTTATGCATTTTTTTCGATTTGATGACGTCACTTCCGGTTTGGAATTATTGTCGATTTTATGATTTTTGAAGGGTCTGGTTGTCTCCAGACTTTCTCAATAATGGCTCAAGATAGAAACATGAAACTTTCAGGTATGATAGACCTAAGTCTATAGATTTGTATAATGTATTTCATTTTTATCGGAAGTGCCGCACGTCGGCGCTCGCTATGGCCCGAAAATAGTCGTATCGCGAATTTCAATTTTTTTAACATCTTTTCTACGATATCTTTTTACCTGGAAATATTTTGTTAAAACATATAGAACAAAAGAAGTGTAGAATTTCAAGATCTTTCAAATGATATCTAGTAAAAAGGGCTGGCCCCTAAATTTAACGGCCTAGAGGGGCCAAAAGTTTTTTACTTTACATCTCAAAACGTATTGAGAATTTGTAATATGTCAAAGAAGCAAAGTTGTTCAAAATGTCAAGCTTAATCTTTTGGAGTCGTCAAGAAACGTTCGCCGTCGTCACTTCCGGCCAAACCGGAAGTAGTCGAAAACGCGTATTTTTGCCGTTCTTTACAAGTTTTTGGGTAACGGATGTCTCTGGGAGCATAAAAATTAATTTTTCGTCAAACCGGAAGTAGCAAAAAATGGCTCATTTTTTAATTAATTAACATAGTTTTAGAGGAATCAAACCATTTTGGGGCGTTATTTCTCTTTTTTGTTAAAAATGAAAGCTACTTCCGGTCAAACAGAACGGAAGACCTACTCGTTGCTTTGCAACGAGCTTTGCTCTAGTTTTATTATTGTTTTTTTTTTCTTACCGATTTTGTGCGCGCGATTTCTCGAAAACGGCTCAATCGATTTTCATGAAACTTACAGGACTGATAGAACATCAAAAAATCTAGATATGTTTTTTTTATTTTGATGACGTCACTTCCGGTTCGGAGTTTTCTGCGATTTAGTGATTTTTAGAGGGTCACTTTGTCCGGCAGTTTTCTCAAAAAGCACTCAACACAGAAGCATGAAATTTTCAGAGATGCTTAGAGCAACCTTTGGAGAAGTGCACTAAGTATATCACAACTACCGGAAGTACGAAGCGCCGATGCTCGCTATGGCCCGAAAATAGTCCTTTCATGAATTTCAAAATTTTTACCACCTTTTCTAAGATAACTTTTTACCTAGAAATATTTTGTTAAAACATGTAGAACAAAAAAGGTGTAGAATTCCAAGGTCTTTCAAATGACATCTCGAGAAAAGGGCTTGCCCCTTACATTAAGGGCCTGGAGGGGCCGAAAGTTTTTCCTTTATAGCTCAAAAAGTGTTGACAATTTGTGATACGTCAAAGAAGCAAAGTTGGTCAAAATTTCAAGCTTAATCTATTGAAGTCGTCAAAATACGTCCGACGTCGCCACTTCCGGCCAAACCGGAAGTAGACGAAAAAAGCGTATTTCTGCCGTTCTTGACAGGTTTTTTGGTAACATATGTCTCTGGGAGCATTAAAACTAAGTTTCCGTCCGTCGTCGTCACTTTCGGCCAAACAGGAAGTAGCAAAAAATGGCTTATTTTTGCATTAATTAACATGGATTTAGAGGATTCAAACCATTTTTGGCGTTATTTCTCATTTCTGCAAAAAATGAAAGCTACTTCCGGTCAAACATGACGGAAGACCTACTCGTTGCTTTGCAACGAGCTTTGCTCTAGTTTAATCTATGTTCATTGTAAAATCTCGTTAATTTTCATAGCTTTTTTGTATTTTAGTTTATCCAACAACGATTGATATGCCAACAGTGAGGATAGTTGGTGAATTTTCTAATACACCATCAAGACGATTTTCGGTTGGAACAGCTTTACAGCTGACATGTACAGGACAGATTGGTAGTGACCCATCTGCTGTAGGTACATTATCTCAAATAACAATATAATATCAGAAAACTTTCTCTTTATACCAACATCTTAATTGAACTTTTATTATCTACTCTTCAGACAATTCGATGGTGTTCTAAGAAGTCCCACGATCTTGGCTTAACTGGGTTACCACAGACCCCGGTCCACTCGGTGGCCTCACTATCTGGCTGTCAGTACACTCGTTCCAGTACCATCACCTATAACCTCACCAGTGATGACACCTACACACAGTTCCTGTGTGAGTCTGGATATTCTGGTCTCTGTGAAACAGGAACAGCCAAACAATATCTGAATATGTCCATAGGTGAGTTCTTCTTTAAAAAGATCTTTCTGCCTTATATCTCATTTACATACATGTACATGAAACGGAGTCAGTAGCGGGTAAGACACCCTCGATTGGCCAGAGAGGCTCGGATTCGGTGTGGCATATTCCTATCGAAACGTCTCAGGTCAGTTTGGTTAACATTATTCCACTCCTGTTCCAATGCTGCAGCAAGTTCTTGGACATTGATAGGGGGCTGTTGACGATAGCTAGTACACGTACATTGTAGCCGCTGTCCAAACATGTCCCAGACATGCTCGATGGAGGAAGGATCCGGACTGAGTGCGGGCCATAGTAGTAGTATTGTGGTGATATTCTTTCCTGTGACCTTGACCTCACCTTTCCTAAATTTGCTTTTTGCTTAGTTTTAGAGAAAATATATAAGATATATTTATCTAAGCTTATGCATTTATACATTATTTGGTGAGAATTTATCATCTAATAACCAACTTTTTAGATTTCATTTTCAATTTTAAAGAAACAAATTGAAGATATTCTCGTAAAATTTCATTCACTTATATAAATTTTCACAATGCATTACTGATAAACATGGGCGTCGGAAGCAAATTGAAAGTGTGTGTGTGGGGGGGGGGCTAATCGAAAGGGGGGAGGGGCTAACCCAACAAAAAAAAACGTAAATCCCAATTTTCAATGCCTATATAATGTCTATTTTTGCAAAAAAGTAAGGGTTGAGGTATATTTCTAATTTAATACATAACCACTCAGTAAAACATCAATTGGAATCAGTAGAAACAATTTCTTAAATCATAGGCACCTGACGTTACTTAATTTTCTTCTGATAAAAAATATACCCCCAACTGTGATTTATTCAGCATGGGTATGTTTTCTTAAAAGAAAAACAAGAAACCTTAGGTGCCTGTAAATTATTTGGTATGGATTATATTTTTTTTATAAAAAGAAAAATAAATAACGTAGGGTGCCAGTCTTTTTAAGGTATAACAATAACATTGCTATTGTTCATTCCAGAGGGAAGTTTTATTTCAACTCACAGATTACCACCGTGTGTGTCCACTAACGGTAGGAGATATATTTGGTCATAACATGCTTGCTTGTCATTATGCCTATCTAGCTATTCTCTCTTTAAATATTAACGAATTTAATAAAATAGCTGTCCAAGTTAAACAATATACCGGTAATTTGGGCAGTTTACACTCCAAGTAATCAAACAGAATAAAGATCAGTAGTATATCAAACAGTACAAATCAGGAGCAGGGCAAATACGGACCTCTGAAATATCAGAGATGGAATCAGGTGTCATGTAGGAGTGAGATTCTCCTGCCCGTCATACCTGTGGTGTGTCCCTTCATTGTAATGGTCAGAAAGTAATGAAAAAAATCCGTCGATAAATCAGCCTAACAATTAGTATGAAATTAGAATGAAAAACATTAGTCAGTAATGATATATTGCATTTTCTAACTATTGAGATCTTTGTTTCAACCATAGTACAGAACTTACAAAAATAAACCCGTATTCGAGTGATAAAATATACCAGTAATTATTTTTTATCCAGTCAAATGTCGCGTAACAACCAAAATTAAATTTATAAACATTGAAAATTTCTCTGTGTGAGATAAAAGTACAAATGATAGAAACCCTTGATTTTTTTTATTTCTTCATAAAGCAACTGGTTCATTGAAAAGCGATTTAACTTTTTAAAATGCATGTGTGAAACACTGATGCCCTTGTATGACAGCGTTTAGCGAGGGTTTAAGTTTCTAAAATGCAGGTCAAACTCCAAGATCAAGGTCAAAAGGTCAAATTTGTTGGTTTCCAAAGACAGATATTGTCACAATGATACACATTTGAAGTATGAAAGCCCTATCACAAACTACTGAAAAGTTATGAACAAGGTTAATGTTTGATAATTATTTTTGAAAAAGTGGATCACAATCCAGGGTCAAGGCCAAGAGTCAAATTTCGTGATACCCCGATAAAGGTATTGTCACAAGAAATATACCTGTAAAATATGAAAGCCATAGCCTTACCCACTCAAAAGATATGGGCAAGGTTAAAGTTTTTCCGACAAAAAGATCAACAATCAGTCAGACAGATAGTCAGAGCAAGAGCTACATACCCCTAATATTTGATTTTTAAGAGGCATAAAAAAAGAAGTGGGTTGTTCTAGGACCGAGCGCGTAAAACGAAATCATGTAAATATAAGAAATAACTGGGCGATTATGCAAATTATGCATGTATTAAAATTTCGTGGAGAAATACAGAATCCATGAAATACGTTTTATGCAATATAACGGTTTTATTTCAAATTTTAATGCACAATGGGTTTATGCCTCTCGGTTGATTCGTATTTAAGAGTATGCTCTTCCTGCGAACTTTAAAAAAAGAACGCAAGCTATTAATTGACAAAAAGTCAGGGCAAGAATATCAACAGCTCTAGTCTACTCTCAAAAAAAAATGGAGAGGGCTATATTATTCCCTGTTATTGCAGCTACCATAGACTGTAGAAATAGATCCCACCTCCGATGTTTTAGAGGTGAGCGTTCACTTGAATAGACTTGAGAGCTTTAATAGTCTTAGTTATCTCCACATTTCATTTACTATATGTTTCGATACAAATAATTACCCTACAGTTGTTTAAATTTCTTGAAAAAGCTTTTCTTCACACAAGAAATGAGTTTGTCAGTTCACCTTGAATTTCTTTTTTCATGTCGTTCATCCTTACTTTTACATTTAAGTTGTATTTAAAATACTATATGCCAGTATGCCAGACTCATTCAGATTTTCAAAAATATATTTTACAGAAAACCTTTCTACCATTTTTGGAACCTTATTTGGAGTTTTTTTCTGCATATATGCAGGATTAATGATATATATTTTTCACAACAAGTTTTCAAACAAATCAAGTAAGTGTTGTTTTTGTATATTAGTAAATGGTGCGATTCTTTAAATCATTATTTTCTTTTTAATTGAATTAGTTTCACATTATTATTACATTCCATATATATATATATATATATATATATATATATATATATATATATATATATATATATATATATATATATATATATATTAAAATTCAAGATGTCCTTGGTATAGGTATGTACATATAGAAAAATAATCCAGAGTTTGGAAAAGATGATCACATTTTATTCCAAAGCGCTTTCGCCATTCGGCTCTTCAGTGGATTTTGAATAACAATAGCAACATGACATGATAACGTCGTTATTATGACGTCATAATTAAAGGACAACGTTAAAATTTGGCGCAAAAAATGTCCGTAGAAAGCGCCAAATTAAATAGACTTGACACTGTAAATGATACATATTTACACAATAATAATCAATAATTAATCAATTAAAAAAAAAAAAAAAAAACAATATTAACAGTCATTGATTAAATCAGAACATTTATCTGTTTAGTTTAGGCTTAAATTTATCAATGAAATATTGTTCTTTGGCCCGCCGTAACTGTTCATTTTCCTCAGTAACTTTATAAAACGGAAAGATACTAAAACGTCCTTTACCGCATTGTTCAAAATGTTCGCTGCACGGAGTATTTCTTACGGAAGGGTCCCTTATCTGCTGTTTGTGTACTCTAACACGGTCGGATATTTTATTCCCCGTTTGACCAATGTAATTTTCTCCGCAACCACGGCAAGTCATGCAATAAATGACGTTCTTGGTTTTGCAGTTCATATTATGTTGAACTTTAAAATCTATTCCTGTTTTAAATGTGAATGATTCTCCGATTTGTATAAAATCGCAAGTTCCACAGCGTGGATCATCACATTTGGAAACTGTAAATATTTCCTTTGTAGAGGTGAATTTGGCTTTGGTGAGGATTTTTTTCAAATTTGGCGGTTGTCTTCTACTGTAAATCAAATTCTTCTCCGCAATAAGGTCGTTCAGATTTTTTGATTGTTGAAGTATGGGCAGGCACTGTTTCGTTGTGTTGAAGATGTTGTGATTTTTTGGATTATAAGTGACAACGAATGGAATTTCTGTGTGCACATTATCGGATTCATTCTTTCTGTTCACTTTCCGAAGTTCTGTAATTGGGATTGCTTCGGCTTTTCTTATCGCTTCGGCTATAAGATTTTTTGGATATTTTTGGCGTTGTAGATAAACACTTAATTCTTCTAGTCTTTTCGTCCGACGTTTTTCGTCCGTAACTATTGTACATATTCTTCTTGCCAAATTAAATGGTATATTCCGCTTCGTATGTGAAGGGTGGCAGGAATTAAAAAGAAGATACTGGTGACTGTCAGTTTCCTTGTAGAATAAATCTGTGGAAATGTTGGTGTTTTCCTTTATTATAAGTATATCCAAAAAAGAAAGTTCTCTTTGACTGGTTTCGATAGTACATTTGATATTCCCGTGTAATCCATTAAGTAAAGTGTGAAATTCCTTTAATTCTCTTTCAGATTTGTCCCAAAAAATAAAACAATCGTCTAGATAACGTTTCCATTGATGTCTTATATAATTGGAGATATCCGATCCGAAAACTTTTTCGGTTTCAGTGTACATCTTTTCTTCAAGGAATCCTAATACTAGCGTAGCGTAAGTTGGGGCTACCTTTGTGCCCATTGCGGTACCTTTCACTTGTAAAAAGTACCTGTTGTCAAAAAAGAAATCGTTATTTTCCAGAACCAGTTGCAATCCTTCTAATATAAAATCCTTGGTAAATCTAGGGTCTATCTGGTTTTCATGTTTATCTACCCAGAATGATATTGCCTCTAGTCCCAAGGTGTGTGGTATATTTGTATACAGGCTAGTCACATCAAAGCTTACCAAAATGGTTTTTTCCTCAACTTTCTTAGGGATGTGGTGAAGAAAGTCCATATCGTCACGGATGAAACTTGGTACTAGCTGACAAAGAGGTTTCAGAATTATATCTAACAAGTTACTTAGTCTCTGAGTAGGACAAGATGGACCAGCTACAATGGGTCTAAGTTTTAAGTCTTCCGGTTGTGGTAATTTAACATAGTTAGATTTCCTTCCCTGTATACCGTCTTTTATTTCCTTTGATTTATGAATCTTAGGAAGTCCATAGAAGTTACTGTTTTTAACTTCAAATTGCAGAAGGTATTCTTGTTCCTTTTTAGTAAGGATACCTGAGAATTTAGATGTAAATTTGCTTAATTTTCTCATTGTTTTCCTTTCTTCAGAATTTGGGAGTTCTCTATAGAATTCTTGGTCATTCAGTTGATCAAGGGCCATTTTTTGATAATGTGATTTATCCATTATGACAACGGCTCCTCCCTTATCTGCCTGTTTAATGATAATGGAATCATCCTCTGTCAGACTTTTTATTGCGTCTCGTTCTTTCTTGGATATATTATCTTTTATCTGAACGTTGTTGTTATTTGCTTGAGCTGCACTCTTAAGACATTGTATATATTCGTCCAAATGTTTATCTCTGTTCGAGTTTGGCTTAAAATTGCTTCTATTTCTTACAAGAGATATGTCATCACTATCACTGGAGTCTCCAAAGAATTCCCTCAGTCTTAGTTTACGGCAAAATTCTTCAGTGTCTTTCAGGAGATCGGCAGTATTTCTTCTAGGAGTTGGTGTAAACTTTAATCCCTTTTGTAAAAGTTTTATTTCAAATTCATTTAGATCCCGTGATGAAATGTTAATAACTTTCGGGTCCATCTCACTAAAACTCGTATTTAGTGCTTGTTTTTCCTTTGAATTTGATTTTTGTGACGATCTTTGTGGAACGGTCCTTTCCACAAAAAATGATTCGAACTTTTAAACTGAGGTTTAAAATAGGTGCCTGAGTTTGTAATTTCTCTATGAGAATTACCCGCCTCGTGTATTTTCTTTTTATGTGATGGATTCCTCTGTTCATTGAATGAGAATTGAGCATTTCCACTTGTGAACATAGGGTGTTCCCGAGCGTTCCCGTAATGATTCCGTTTGATCCGCTGTTGATTCTGGTCATTACTTATTTGAGTTCGCACTGCCTCAGCATATGTTCTTTGATTTTCATTTTCATTTTTCTGCTCAGTTGATTTTTTATTGTTGAAGTTCTTTCGATTATTTTGCTTATGTTTTTGCGTGTGTTTTACTGGTTCATTTCCGTGATTTTTCTCATAATCCTCCAGCCATTTTTGCTTAGCCTCTAAGATTTGCTCTGATTTGGCCACTTCACGGGAAATGTCTGTTTTCCACAAATCAAGAAGTTTTCCTTCTATTTCGCTGTCGTTCTGTTGAGTTATTATCTCTACCATTTTTTGGTCACATTCCTCATATTTGTTTTTGTATTTGGGAACTCGGATCCGTAGCAATGTAATTTCGGCCTCCATTTTATGCTTTGCTAGATTGATCCTTATTTTTGTCTCTTCAGTGGGTTCATTATTAATGCTTTTTACCCTGTACTTAAGCGGGAGAATGATAGTTTCCCTTTGTATCCAATTCTCATAAGTATTGGCAAGTTGTTCACTTCGGATTGCATTCCAGTATGCTTGTTTCCTTTGATTTAGAAGCATATTCCATGTGGAAAGCATTTCTTTCTTTATTTGATACACACCATTTTGGGAATTTATTTCATTTCGGCGCTCAGAAATAACATCTGCAATTGTTCTATATACTTGTGCGTCGATATTTCCTGCGATAAATTCACCTCCTTCTGATTTGAAGTTGTAATCTCTAATAATTGTGTCAAGTTTTAAATCAAAGGAATTAATTTTTTCCTCTAGTCGTTGAAAAATGTCCGTAAAATTCCCTACCTTGGTGTCCAAAACGGATAGCTTGTTTGAAATTTCCTCTAGGGCGTTGTCCAAATTGTTTGTATATTTTGCTCTTGTCTATGTCATCTTCTTCATATACCAGCATTCATATATTAAAATTCAAGATGTCCTTGGTATAGGTATGTACATATAGAAAAATAATCCAGAGTTTGGAAAAGATGATCACATTTTATTCCAAAGCGCTTTCGCCATTCGGCTCTTCAGTGGATTTTGAATAACAATAGCAACATGACATGATAACGTCGTTATTATGACGTCATAATTAAAGGACAACGTTAAAATTTGGCGCAAAAAATGTCCGTAGAAAGCGCCAAATTTTAACGTTGTCCTTTAATTATGACGTCATAATAACGACGTTATCATGTCATGTTGCTATTGTTATTCAAAATCCACTGAAGAGCCGAATGGCGAAAGCGCTTTGGAATAAAATGTGATCATCTTTTCCAAACTCTGGATTATTTTTCTATATATATATATATATATATATATATATATATATATATATATACAGTGTATTAAAATAAAATAAAATAAAAAGGCAACACTTGTTAAAGCGTAAGCGCTTTCATTGTTTTCTTCAGACGTTTTAAATAATTTCAACTTGTGACGTTATAACGTTACCTGGTTGTAACGTCAAAAACAATACAATGACGTCACAATACTGAAAGAGGAAACTTTTACATGAGTTAAAAGAAAATAAGCATATTGTTTGCATACAAATGTCAATGTTTTACAAAAATATAAAAATGTCTAAAGTGAACTATTTAGTGATAGTTTTAACAGTTTTATAAAGTATTTCTCCTTTTCTCGTCTTTGCACCACATTGTCTGTATAAAGTTGGTAAAAAGGAAAAACTGAAAATTGTCCCCGACCACACATATCAAGATGTCCGCTTACATTTATTTTACGGTATTCAGGTTGGTTAATGTGCTGTTTGTGTATGCGGATACGTGTACGTAGTGTGGTTCCAGTTTCCCCAATATAGAATAAATAAATGTAAGCGTTTTTGACGTTACAACCAGGGTAACGTTATTACGTCACAAGTTTAAATTATTTAAAACGTCTGAAGAAAACAATTAAAGCGCTTACGTTTTAACAAGTGTTGCCTTTTTATTTTATTTTATTTTAATATTGATTACCGGACAC